TTCCCTCGTTCCCCGTAAATGGGGGAAACCTCCAAAAAAATTACAAATTTAAAAATCGCTAATTTTCGATATTTTTTCAATTTTTTTTACTTAAAATTGCTATAACATTTTTAAAAATAACCGAATCAATATAACTTTTTTTTATATAGATGCATGATATAATTACCTTTCATTTGGTATATTTTTTTCATAAATTTAACCCTTTACCTGCCCACAGGGGGGGATTTAAAATGACAACTTTTTCACAAAAAATTAACTTTTTCAACTTAACTTTTGAAAATGTTCCGGAAGGTCTGACACTTTTATATATATCTTAAATTAAAGCTAATGTAATATACTTTAATTTGAAAAAAAAAAATTTGACCTCTGGACTTGTCTTCGTGGTGAAAGTTGACATCAAAGTTAATAAAAAATTACGATTTTTGTAAAATAATTTTTTTTTATATTTTTAACTTAATAATGCTCTAACTTTTTCAAAAATGAACATATCAATATAATTTTTTTTTATATAGATGCTTGATGTCTTTACTTATCATTTGGTATATTTTTTTTGTAAATCTGACACTTAACCTGCCCACAGGGGGGGATTTAAAATGACAACTTTTTCACAAAAAATTAACTTTTTCAACTTAACTTTTGAAAATGTTCCGGAAGGTCTGACACTTTTATATATATCTTAAATTAAAGCTAATGTAATTTACTTTATTATGCAAAAAAAAAATTTCGGACTTTATTTTATCTTCACGGTGAAAATGGCTACCAAATGCTATTATTGTGTGAAAATTCTCGATTTTATTTTTTACATTTTTAACTTTATAATGCTATGACATATTGAAAAGTGTATGGATCAACATAATTTTTTTATGAGAAATAATATTTTTTAATAATCCCTTTTTCATTCGACATACTTTATCTTAATCAGGATATTAATAAGGAACTAGCAGTTCATGCAGCTTTTGGAATAATCCACCAATTTTTTAAAATTAAACACTATCTAAAGATTTGCATCGAAGCGTTTTTTTTTGATAGTGATTTTAATCACTGTCAGATATCATTATACTTGATCCATCTATGCCACGTCACCATTGTGCCGCGACCCCCCTGTGCTGGGTTTTTTTTACTTAAAACGCCATAACTTTTTCAAAAATGAACAAATCAATATAATTTTTTTTTTATAGATTCTTGATGTCTTTATCTATCATTTGGTATACTTTTTTTTATAAATTTAACCCTTTACCAGCCTACAAGGGGAGATTCAAAATGACAACTTTTTAACAAAAAATTAACTTTTTCAATTTAACTTTTGAAAGTTTTCCAAAAATACTGACCCTTTTATATATATCTTAAATTAAAGTTAATGTAATATACTTTATTATGAAAAAAAAAAAAATTTCGGACTTTATTTTGTCTTCACGGTGAAAATGGCTATCGAATGCTCTTTTTGTGTTAAAATTCTCTATTTTATATTTTACATTTTTAACTTTAAAATGTTATAACTTTTTGAAAAATGTATGGATCAATACAATTTTTTTATGAGAAATAATATTTATATACTTCTTTAATTCGACATACTTTTTTTTTAAATCGGACCATTTCCCTTAATACAGGGAGGGTTCAAAACATAAAAATGCACATTGAAAGTAGAACTTTTTCAACTTAATTTTTGAAAGTGTTCCAGAAATACTGACACTTTTATATATATCTTAAATTAAAGCTTATTTAATATACTTTAATATTAAAAAAAAAATTTTGGACTTTATTTTGTCTTCATGGTGAAAATGGTTTTGTATTTTATTTTATTATAAAGGGATTACACTGATTTTCATAAATATTATATCAATCTAATTGACATACTATAAAAAGATAAACATATTTAAATTTTTTTGTTTCTTTGAAGTCGAAAAAAATAACTTTAAAATTTGAACTAGCTAAATTTCCATTTTTATTAAGTGATGAATGCGACGTACGGTTTCTGAGACGGTAAAACTTGGGTCTTTCATGCCTGTGGCACTGAATTTTTTCTTAATTCTTTTTGAGTTAGAAAAAAATGTTTAACTCATTTGATTTTTATCTCATTTAAATTCAATAACTTCAATAAATATCAAGGATTCCATTACTGTAGTCTCCTCTCGTGAGAAGAAATTCATTATAAATATTATTTTACTATGTGGTTTTTTTTTGTAGCTATCATTTATTTTCTCAGCTCTCACTTGACCTACTTTTTTGACAAATTTTTTTTTTATTAATTAAACACTATCTACAGATTTGTATCGAAGCGTTTTTTATGATAGTGATTTTAATCACTGTTAGATATCATCTATACTGGACCCCACTATGCCAGGACCTCACTGTGCCGCCATCTCACTGTGCTGGGTTTTTTTTTTAATTGAGCCTTCATAGAAGCACAAAAATAAATAATATTAAAAAAACACATCAATTTTACTAATTTACTATTAAAATATAATAGTAAAATTAATACCGTATTGAAGCAAAAAATTATTGACTTAAATAATAAAATAATAACTCGATGGGGGTTGCCACCCCATATCATTTGACGGAATAACTACTCACTACAAATTACACTACTCTATTGATATATTATAAATTTAATGTTTATTGAAATATTTTCAATTTAAATTGAAAGTGAAAACAATTTACAACATTGTTTGTATATTACCCAAACCAAATTATATTTTAAAAATAAAATAATTTATTATATGAGTAATACAGATTTTAAAAATATTTAATTACCTTAAGTTGTGTTTCGAGGTCCGTTATTTTAGATTCGAATTGTTTAATAGCTTTTGATTCATTATTGACATCTGCTTTGACATATGTAGTCTAATCAAAAATATAAATATTAAATTATAAATCAGTTAATCACTTAATTACGAAATTAATTGAATAATAATTGAGAAAATGTCATGAAAATAAACCAAAATATCTTATTTTTTATGAAAAATGTAATAAATACATATGCTAATAATCTTATAAAAAAGATAAATCAAATTTCTTTATAGAATAAAAATAATGTTAATAATAAAAAGACATTTGTCATAAGTTCGTTCATAAATGCGGTTTAGACAAATAATTTTTTTCTTCTCCTGCAAAATGTAGTTTTTGTGACTTAAGTATCTTTCCTAGATCATCATCTTGATTATTATTTTTATGAAATACTAAGAACTAAACTAGAACTAAACAAAATCACAATATCCTACATTGATTAAATTTACTGTCGTAAAATGTTTCGATATATCAAAAATTGTATGGTTTTTGACTTAAGAGGTTGATTACTCATAGAGAGAACAATTCTTCAATACGTTTTTTTTCTAATCATAAACTATATTAAACAAACTTAAATTTGAAATAATATTGAATGATTATAATCTGATCCAAATTATACAAATTGCACGATTAATCGAGATGAATTAAATCGCATCATCCGAATAACTATCCCAGCACTGTTAAATTAGTAAACTGGAAACTTAGTTAGAGTTTGTTAAGTAACGAGCTAATATAATTATTTCAGGGTTTGAACATTTTTCCTTATTTTTTTATATAATAAAAACTCAGCACAGTGGAGTCAAGGTATAGCTGGATTGAGATGGTTCCTTTAAATAGGACCTCCTATAAAAAATATCGCTATCATAAAAAAAGTGATAAGCAAAAAAAAAAACCAGACAAAGTGTCAGTAATTATGACTAGGCTAGTAAAACTCGAGATGGGCCCCTTCTGTTCGTGGGTCTCGGTTCATTTGCTTCCCCCTTAATACGGGCCTGGTCGTTGCATAGTTGGAAGAAGTATAGATGATATTTAACAGTGATTATCATAAAAAATGCTTCGGTATGAATATGTTAAATTTCATAATTTATATATTTGTATTTTTTAAATTTTTATGGTTTCAGATTTCATTCGAATATTAAATTCTTGTTAAATTATATACTCAATTGAATATAACATTATTTTTTTGCTCGACAGCAGTTTTCTATAATATAACAATCATTGAGACAATTTGATTTTTTAATATTGTAATACACTTCAAAAGATTTGATATAGGTTAGAATTCAGATCTTCCTGAAATTATTCAAAATAGTGTTGAAAAAAATAGTTTACATGCATATTCTTTTTCAAAACTTCCTGTCTTAGATTTTATATCGGATTTCGGATTCTTCTCCGCTACTTGTAATATTTAGATAGCTTTGAAGTATGAGCAAATCGAAAAAAAATTAATTGCTTAGCGCTAAGTGCATTAAGAATTAGTGCGACATGACTTAACGTTCTGAGCTCGTCAATAAAAAATGTTATTTCTTTTTTCTCAAGACTCCCATTCGTTAGTATATTTTTAATATACACGTTAATTTTACACACAAATAGTTAATTTTAATATAAAGTAGCAAAAATTCGTACACAAATACAGTATTTTTATCACTATTTATCCAAATTATTATTACATAAAATTAGTTATGCTTTAATTTTATTAAAAACCTGGCGCTCTTTTTCTGAAAAGTTTCTAAAATTATGTTAGTGATTCAATTGATTACTTTTGCTGATGTAGTTTTTAAAGCAGGTTTATTTATAACTTTAGATGATGTTTTTGTTTGATATTCGATAACTTTTATTTTGAATTTATCCCTTTCAGATTCGATTTCCTCTAACTTTCTTTTTAATACAGCTATTTCCTAAAAACAATATTTTATTTAAGTTATATTTTACTTAAAAAAAAAATTATTTTTCTTCTTTACAGGTAATATTCAAGAACATCACTAATATAATATTAATGGATCGAATTCTTTTTATCAAATTAAATTATTTTAATTACTGATTATAGTATTATTGAATAATTGAGATGTATTATGTGGCAAGTGATAAGACTTTAAAGTCTTAGCTCTTGCCTTACACATTATATCCCTAGCAGTTTTTGGGATTAGGGTATATACATTAGGGTGGCCCTCAAATATCGAATGTCTTTTTTTTAATGTATCAATTTTGGTTTTTCTAAATTGCTTTAAGATAGTACCATTTATATTATCATTAAAGATAAGTATATTTGTGTTATTTTCATCTGACTGACATAAATTGTGTGGTATAAATGCAGCAGACAATTTGTGGATACGTTTAATCATGTTTTATCTGTTTATTGTTACATATTAAATGATACGTTTTAGTCACAAAAGTACACTACGTTTGTTCTTAAAGATGTCTTTTAAAGTATTACAAACTAATATTTATCTTATTGGTTATTTCCACGAAATAACGGGTAATAATAACCATCAAATTTACAAGTATTGAAAACATAGTTTTCTTAACTTAATTGTAGTAAAATTAAATGTTCGTCAAAATGCGTTATTAGTTTTATGCGAAGTAATGATTTTTTGGGATAAAGCGCAAATTCCTACTATGTTAGAAGAAATTTTGTTGAAAAAATTGAATGTTTGTAAGAAGAGTGGAGACTTCTACAAAAACACGCTGGTCGAATGACAGTTAGCTACAAAGAAAAGGTAGATGCTTTTACATTTATGTGTAATAACTTGTTTGATATTGCATTTACTGCTGCTTTAAGCCTTATAAAAATAGATGGAGATAGACTATTTTTGATAAGTCAGATGAAAGAAGGGCGATCAGAGTTTTTGCATGAAATTTCTAATGAAATTAATTACAATATTGATAAAGATTAATAGAAACTGAAAACATAAACGTCTTACAGGGTATTTTGAATTAAAATTATCTAAAAAATTACATTAAAATAAAATTACTTATGATTAAAATTATTCTTAGATTTAGAAATTTCAATGGCATCCTTTACAATAAAGTTTTAGGGGAGAAAAATGCCTCTCAGTCTTACGAAAAGAAAGGGCAGCTGCAATTAAAAATCAATATAATGATTCAGATTTAAATACTTTAGTTTTACACTGCGATGGTAAGCTTCGCCCAATTTAGTAGACATTAAAATAATTGATAGAATTTATTAGTAATAGTGATTTCGAAAAACTTCTCGCTATACCAATATTAGAACAAGGGACAGCTAAAAATAAAAAATTAATGCTGTAGGAAACTTTAGACCAATTGAACATAAATAAATCAGTAAAGGCTTTATCTTTCGATACAACTGCTGTAAATAGTGGTGATTTAGGATGTACTTATGCTTAGTTGGAACGACTCTTAGAAAAAGAATTGCTTTATATACCTTACCGCCTCCAAAAAGTTTTAAGTATTTAGGATCAGTTGTGCAAAAGAACAGTGGTATTGACGAGGATATAAAATACATGAGTAAGTGTGGGTAGGTGAAGTAGAGAACATCGTCTAGTATGTTATGAAATAAGAGGATTCCAATGAGGCTGAGTATTGGGCGGTTAACAAAAAAGTAGAGCAGAGAATGAATGTAGCAGAGATGAGAATGTTTAGATGGATGAGTGGAGACTATAGAAGATACGATAAGGAACGAACATATAAGAGGGAGTATAAGTGTAACGTCAAAGTTAAAGTTTTAAACCCTATATATTTCAAAGTAATGTTAAAGAAATTATAGAACCAGAACTTCAGAAGATAATAATTGTTGTAGAAAATAATTAAAAATAGTACAATCAATAAATAATTATAAAGAATTCTTCGAGTTAACATTAATTTTTTTCGTTGTAAAGAGTCACAATAATCCATTTTTTTCATAAGCTAGGTGCTATTCATCATGCTTGATGGATGGTCAAAGCCATTTATAGTCTTAAAATATTTATATTTAGAGACGAATTTAAACTTACTAGCAGAAAAACACAAGGATTACGCGATGTTTGTTTGTTTTTGGTACTAGTTTATGTTTAATCGTGGTTTACAACAACTTCGGTGGTTGCGGCACGGTATAATGAATTGAATTTTATTAAAAAATTGTTCAACTATAAATTAATAGACAGTGAAATATCCCGAGTTGTGCTTTTTAAATTTGTAAATCACTTAAGATACTTAAGTTCATAATAAATGGGACTGGATAATTGGTACTATTTTAAAGTAATTAAGTAAACTAAAATTTATTCATTAATACAACAAAATGTAATAATGCAAAAATTTTTGTTAAATTGTAATTAATAATTAATTTTCTGCCCATAAAATAAACCTAGTAATCAACGATATAATTATCGCACTTGGCATAAAAATTAAACTTTTAGATTTTTTTTTAACGAATTTTTAATTAATTTTTTCCAAAGAATTAAATGAAAATAAATAAGTAAGAATAAACAAAACCAGTTGTAATGTTTTTTTAAAGACTTTTACATATTTTTTTTTACTGTATGTAGTATTTTTGTGGGCTACTTATTAAAAAAAACAACACTAATGTTATTATTTTTTAATTTCTTGTAAAATTACTTTTACTTGAGTTTTACTTTCATAATTTTAAGTTAAGTAAAAAATATTTATGAAACATAGATCAGTCATTTCTATTAAATTTGCCTCTTTAACTCAACTTTATAGGTCTGAGAGCACGGGTTTACCTTAACAGAGTTATTTCAAATTTTACACAGCTAATTTTTTGAACCTTAAAAAAATTTATGGGTAGCGTAAAAAAATAAGCCAATTGATTTTTGAGGGCCACCCTAATATATATACAAAAAATGTTAACTACCTCTTCATTCAAACGAAAAAAATTGTATTTTAACCAAATATTTTTGTTTTGATGAGCACATTATTCCCAAAATTACTTACTAATACAAAGTTCTGATATAATATTGGTAAAAAAGTTTGTTTAATATATACAATAAAATTGTTATATGTATTATTATTTTAATATAAAAAAACTGAACGAATTTTAAGTTTTATATTTATATCTGAAATATTACCTGCTCACTTAACTCAAGCAGTAATTTTAATTCTGAAGCATCTTCAACGTCAGATATACCTTCGTCTCTATCCGTAACACTAGATGAACGATATTCTAAAAAGTAGCAAAAAAATTATTAAGAAAATTAAGCAAAAATAGTAAATAAAAATGTAATGATATTTTTTATAACTACTGGTTTTTGTTGCCATTTTTTTTAGTTGTAGAGCCATAGTTTCATTATCCTCTTCCAATCGACAAACTTTTTTTCTCAACATTTTTGCCTAAAAGCGTTTTTTAATTACAAATTAAAAAAAGTAAAGAAACAATTTTAGATAATTTTTTTACTTCTTCCTCAGCAAATCTTAACTGCTCTCGCATATCAGCCTCTCGTTCAATAGAATCTTGTAGGTCTCTTTGAAGTTGAACAGGGTCTTCTTGTGAATCTCCTCGTGTAAGAGACTCTCTTGACATTCTCTTTAAATATAATATTTAAGAACATTTGACTTAATAGGATGACATATTTTTATTATAATACATACATTTATATTTTAAAAACATTAATTTTTTAATTTTATTGTTTTTTTTTTTTTTTAATATTTCATTAAAATGTGAATAAACTATGAATAATATAATCATGAGCAAAGCTTGTATATTAACGCACTAAAAAACACATAAATAAGCATTTAAATATACACTAAAAAATGGCAAAATATTTCAATAAATAAGAATTAAAAATTAAAAAAAAAAATCATTTATGTGCACTAAAAATCTAAAATTATGTACTAGAAATATCTACAAAAAATAGTTATAGTTTTTATCAAATAATAAGTATGCATTAATGTCAAAACATTAAACTATTGTGCGGTAACATTATTTTTATATTAATGTTCATGTAATCCACTTACAATTATATCCGGGTAAAAACAAACTTAAAATACAAAAAACTTGTTAATAATTTCAAAATAAGAAATGAAAAACTATTGAAAAATTTTATTATACATTTTCTTACACAAAATGATTTTATATAAATAATATACTCTAAAAAGTCAAATAAATCTATGTTAAGCCAAATATACCCAAATGACATATAAACATCAAACGTAATACACGTAATGGAGTTTGCCTTTTTTTTTTAATTTCTGTCAACAAGTGTATGTAAATGATTTTTTCTTATATTTAGTTAATGAATCATTTATTTTACGACATAATAAATTATGTTGTATATATAAATTATGTTTAACTCCAAATGTATCACAAATAGTACTACCTAATTTTTGCATCCAACCCCTCAATTATCATCTGATTGATTAAAACAATGTGCAAAACCATAAAGTAATTAAATAACTCTGAATGTTTCAATTTAATTTTCTACATACTTCTCCCGATGTGGATTTAGCAATTGTACCCAACATAGGTCTTCTTTTTAATTCCGTTTGAGGAGATATACTTTTCCGTTTGTCTAATTCATTTTCTAATTTTTCTATTAGCTAAAAATAAGTATTCAAATGATTAAAATTTAACTAATAATAGAATTATTTCTTAAAATCAAAAATATTTAAAAAACCTAATTTTATTAATTTTTAGCTTCGATGCGAAGCTGAGAAGGTATTGATTTTACTAAGATGTGTTTTAGCTTCGATGCGAAGCTGAGAAGGTATTGGTTTTACTAAGATGTGTTTTAGCTTCGATGCGAAGCTGAGAAGGTATTGGTTTTACTAAGATGTGTTTTTTTTTTTTTTTTTTTTTTTTTTTTTTTTGTGTCTGTTACCACTTTTTCTCAGCTCTCACCGAACCGATTTCTTTCAATAATACGTCAAAAGATCACAAATCGTATCTAGTCGAAGACATTACCCTTAAAAATTGAAAAAAATTCCCTCGTTCCCCGTAAATGGGGGAAACCTCCAAAAAAATTACAAATTTAAAAAGCGCTAATTTTCGAAATTTTTTCAATTTTTTTTACTTAAAAGTGCCATAACTTTTTCAAAAATCAAAATATCAATATAATTCTTTTTTATATAGATGCATAATATCATTACCTTTCATTTGGTATATTTTTTTCATAAATTTAACCCTTAACCTGCCCACAAGGGGGGATTTAAAATGACAACTTTTTCACAAAAAATTAATTTTTTTAACTTAAATTTTGAAAATGTTCCGGAAGGTCTGACACTTTTATATATATCTTAAATTAAAGCTAATGTAATATGCTTTATCATGAAAAAAAAAAATTTCGGACTTTATCTTATCTTCATGGTGAAAATGGCTACCGAATGCTATTTTTGTGTGAAAATTTTCGATTTTGTATTTTCCATTTTTAACTTTATTATGCTATAACTTTTTGAAAAATGTATGAATCATTACAATTTTTTTATGAGAAGTAGTATTTATATAGATCTTTCATTCGACATACTGTTTTTTTAAATCGGACCATTTCCCTAAATACAGGGGGGATTCAAAACATAAAAATGCATATAGAAAGTAGAACTTTTTCAACTTAACTTTTGAAAGTGTTCCGGAAGGTCTGACACTTTTATATATATCTTAAATTAAAGCTAATGTAATATACTTTATAATGGTAAAAAAAAATTTCGGACTTTATTTTATCTTCATGGTGAAAACAGACATTAAACTTAATAAAAAAAATACGATTTTTGTAAAAAAATTCTTTTTTATATTTTTAACTTTATAATGCTATAACTTCTCGAAAGATGTATGGATCAATATAATTCTTTTTTTTGTAGATGCATGATGTCTTTACCTATCATTTGGTATATTTTTTTTATAAATCTGACTTTTTACCTGCCTACAGGGGGGGATTCAAAATGACAACTTTTTCACAAAAAATTGACTTTTTCAACTTAAATTTTGAAAGTGTTCCGGAAAGTCTGACACTTTTATATATATATTAAATTAAAGCTAATGTAATCTACTTTATTATGTAAAAAAAAAATTTCGGACTTTGTTTTGTCTTCACGATGAAAATGGCTACTGAATGCTATTATTGTATGAAAATTCTCGATTTTATTTTTTACATTTTTAACTTTATAATGCTATAAC